AGTGTACGTGCGCAGCAAGTGCTACATCGCGCGCGCGCCAAACCACAAATAATTAAGCTCTTATTTCAAAATAAACTTGCCACTGGACGAGTGAGCACCTAACAGAAGACCTACCATACTCTTTTCGAGAGTTGACCGTCAAAGCAAGTATAACCGAGTAGGAAAAACAAACTGCTGCAAGACCGAGAACGGTTTAGAGTACTCTTATGGGCATCCACATTTATCACTCACGTTTATTCCGCGGATTTTGCCATTATCCTCAAATTCAGAAATGACCATCTCGCTTTCCTCTGTATTTTGTCGATGTCACGTTAATGCTGTCGCTGTGCAACTGCTTGTAAGGCCGTTGATGAACTTTCACCGATCGCTAACGTGACTCACTCGTCCCGCTCTGCTTTAAGGCTCATTCTCGAACCAAGCTAATGGCCACTAATAGTGTAGGCAGAGAACATCGTCGACAAAGACAAGAAAGACGGGTGTGGCCATTTCCGACTAATTTTCCGTCATCAGCCAGATATACCCAACCCCACGTGGTACACCACCCGAGACTCGAAAGCACGATCTTTTGGTCAGAAGTCTAACGTCCTAACCATTGAGACGTGGGCTCGTTGACTTGGCGGTTTTGATCGCTTTCTGCCTAAACTACTAGCCGCGTGCGTTTCACTACGGCTTGTTTCACCTTCGACCTCTTTGGCCGATGGGTGACTATTGGCCGTAGCGGAACGTCTGGCTAGTGTAATTTTGGAAAACCATAGAATCGTGTCATAACTGTTTCTGCCGGTTTGGCCATATGTCAATCATTGATGGTGATGACCTTATCTTTATTTAGTCTGCCAGAGTCCTGCTCACTTTCGTCAGTAGTGAATTTCTCTTGGCAGCAACGCTGACTCTGTCGGACTCCCTCTCTTTGACGAGCATTCGGATTTGTTTCAGTAGTCCACCTTGTCGAGGGGAAGCGTTGACCAGCCTTTGTCAGCAGGTAGAATAAGTATTTCGGCCTCTGTCTTTAATTCTCCTAGGGTATTTTGTTTCCCTCTTAACAACGAATGAGTTTTTTGGTTTTACATGAAGATAGAAGTGACTGAGTGCTGAAGGCGGCCCTTGGCCTCATCTTTGAAGCTAGGTTGGCATAAGGTCAATTCGAAAGAGACAAGGAATATGACCGGGTTAGTGTCAGTTTTGTTAAAGGCGGATCACCGTTGCAAAACTGTTAGTTGAGTCTCGGTAAGTCGTTTCAACTAGAGGTTTTTATTAAGGTTTTCTGGGTCTCCGATTATTATGCGCTCTGCGGTGCCCTGAACTTTACCGATAAGGCTACATCCATGTACGCATGCTTTTGTAGTCCTAAGTATAGAAAGGTGTTGATGGCGGTTACCACACCACAGCACCATGTGACCAGCATCCTACAGTTCTCAGTACTGCATACGTATTTCTTTAGTCGTAACTGACAACGTTGTATGCCCATCCTTGTCATTCACCGACTGTGTCGGAATATCGTTTGTTTTGCCAATCTTTGGTTGACAGGAGGTGCATAGGAGACAGAGCCTAATGGGGGTTAATGGGGGCGGCGGCGATGACACATGGCACGCAGTAAGGTGTGGGTGCGACGCGACGCCACAGTTTGGTATTGACACACTACTCACAAGGCAAGGAGCGGCATGTACTGGGAGCTGTGAGCACGCATTGTCAGTCTCTGAAGATGGGCAGACGAGCCTACTGCCCGAAACTTCAGACACGGAATAAATCTCCCCTGGTCAACGTGCCTCTGTCTTATGACTCTCAACACAGCTAATATTCCCGATCATAACCGGCAGGAAAGCTGGAGCCTGGTATAACGCAGAGCTTCATAAAACACAACGACTACAGAATGCACTGCACTGCGACGAGACATGCATCAATAGGCATATCAACTTAGATGTCACGTAAAAATTCTCCCGGGTCAAATAAAAACGTTCACAACCAATAACAACCGAGTAACTAAATCCAGCAGACGCTTTTGGCCCAAAAGTTAGCTAACGGCAGAATAGCTTGTTAGGTGCGGTTTAAAGTCAATTGCATCATGTACGT